GATTTATAATTTTACACCATTATTGTTAGGTTAGGTATAAAAGATAGTGTTTGTAAGTAGAAATTAGGATAAGGCTTTTGTGAAGTTTCACAAAAGATGTCATTGTTGTTATTACAAAATATATATAGTTGAGTAAAGTAGTGTTTTGATATGGACCTAGCATTCCAAGTATATACAAAAAAGCTATAGTTATAGTGCGTAATATTACATAGCACCTCGAACAAAAGAATGAGGTATCTTCATACGTTGCTGGCGATTAGATGTTAAGATTTCACATTAGTTATAGATAAACAAAAAGTTTTAGTAATGCTGCATTTCCATCAAGGTTTTGGTTCGATGTGTGCCCTGTTTGTAAACAATATTAGAATAATTAAGGAGTAGCATATATTGTTTGAAATTTTTATCTCAACAACTCATGAACCAAAGCAAAAGATGGTAAAGTTCTATGAGTAATACACAGCTTACATCAAGCATTGATAAAGTGTATGTACGAACAATTAAAAGAGGTAAATTTTAATATTCATTAATATAGAACTTCATTATCCATAAAAAAGACTTTTTTTTTGTAACTTTCAAAAATGTAGAGAACAATGTAATTTATTTAAAACTTTAGTGTTGATTTTTTAGCTATAAATTGTTCATCAAATGTGCTAGAAATGTATGTGAATTTTGAAAATGTTGAACATTTAAATGAATATAGATAGTTGAAAATGCATTATTTTCATTTCATGCTTAATTTGAACTATATGAAAAAAAAAGAGAAAATAACCTGATAAGACTAAGATGAAGAACAAATAAGTAAAATGAAGTTTATTGTATTGTAATCGTAACTTAGTTTTGTATTTTTTCTGAGGTGATTCCTGTCCTTGGCTGGTGGCAGTACCTTCTTAAGAAGTTGGAGGTGTTGAGGATATAACAATGCTTGTAGAAGTTGGAGTGGGAGGTTCTTGGTTTGCCATCACATCACAATCGAACAGTTTGTAGTTTGAAATTCCTGTTTTAATTGCTTTTATGTCAGACCTATTACAAATGTCCTTGTTTGGTTGATCAAGGCCTTGACAGGTCCAGGGAATGTCATGCGATGGATAGTATTGAGTGTTGCAAGTTTTGTGATACTCGCTCCAACTAATTTCTCTGGCATTTTACCAAACGCTACTAATCTCATTTGTCCAGTGCTATCTTGGATAATTAGTTGTAGGGAATATCTGCAAAATTGAATTTTAGTTTTTAACAGATGGAGATTAGGAGTTGGTAATAAAGTCGAAAGGTATTTATATCAGCAATACATATATTGTATAATAATAATTTTAAAATGTTTCAAATACTAATACAATTGATTATAAACATGTTTATAAAATTAATATAAAAACACATAAATTTCTGTTCATGTATATTTATTTGTTTTAATTCATTATTGAGAAAACAA